CAATTTTTGCAGCAGAAAATTTCTCAGTTGGCCCTATAGTGATCTTTAAAACAACAAAAGACGACTAGCTGGATAAGCCTTGAATTATATAAATAGTATGTAATATATATTAACATATATAGAAGACTTCTGTGTATCTGTTTTGATAATCATTCAGGTTACAGACCCTTTACCTGCTGGCCTGGTTTGAGCGGCGATAGTGTGATTCCCTGGGTATTGATCACTGGGAGTATCTGGTTGCCAATGACGGTAGCGATGATCTGACCCTGGGCATTGGTCAATAACTGTGGAGTTATCGGCTGCACCTGAAGTCCCTGAGCTCCGCCTGCCGCCTGGTTGGAGGGGACTGGATTAGGCATCAGTGGGATTGTTCCAATAATCTGGAAAAAATGACACAGAAAGGGAAAATGCACACATGCCACGTATGCTTGCCACACATAATTACTTGTTTTATTCATGTTAAATCAAACTTAGGTGAAATAAGGACAGAGAGACAGATACGACAGGCTGAGGGTGGGAAACAAGCATTCCTTTACTGGGGCGATGAGGACTTTCAAATTCATTTGTCGCGTCACGTATCACCTGTACATTTTACCACTGTCATCCCCAACAAATCTGCTGTGGCTGGGAGCGTACGAAACAAATGCTGGGCCACGCTCTAGCCGCTGGATGATGCTTTGTTCCCACCTCTCGTATGGACACGGAGTGAAATAGATGCAAATATCAGTCCTGTTTGTCTGGCTCTTACAATTCATCTGTACAATGTTATTAACTGTGAACTGAGGGCCTTATGTAATTTTCCTTAATTTACTGATACCTAGTACTCTAGATGACCACCTATGACTCCCGTGCGATCTCAGGGAGGAACAAAGAGATACTGGTGCCTTTCAGGGCATGGCTTATTAAGTTCATAAAAATGCAGCTGCTTTTGGATGACAACTAAGTAGTACAACACAACAGGAGGGCTACTGTTAGATAAAACATTTTAGCTAACATTTCTGGGGCAAGTACTTGCAGAAAAAGACACTTGTGACATCTCAGATTTGAGAATACAGTGATTTCCTAAAATGTGAATGTGCCTGCAAAACTAATATTAGGATAAGATGTCAAATAGATACTGAAAGAAAGCTTGTCAGTCAATAAGCCACTAGACTGAAGAGAGTTACTCTGTTGCAAGAGTATTTTACAAGTATTAGAGCATCTGAAACAAAATTTGATTAAACTTGTGAATAAAACCAAGCTTTTTAAGCTTTTTTTTTTTTTTTTTTTTTGCAAACAACAAATGAAGCTGGAGTCATAGAATTATTGCAACAGGAAGAGTGAAAAAAAAAACCAAAACAAACCTCCAAACCAAACATTTTTATTTCCTTCACCACCTCTCATATGACTTTATCACAGCCCCCAGAAAACATCTATCCCATTGTAAGGCTTCCAGTCTTCCCTCTCCGGAAGCCTTGCTTCATTCTCTTTATCCTCAACATCCACCACACTGCACACCCCTTTGCTCCCCCATCAGGATGACCGCAGTTGCCATGTCCCTTATCACAGAAATTGACTACTAGCATAGACCTACTTGGTTGTTGAGAAATAGGGTGGATTATGAGTTCTCCCTCTTTTTCCTCAGTGGGGATATTAACAGGGTAGCTTTCCTCAGTCTATCTGCTGATTCTCATTCCATTTAGGAGCTTAATCATCTTTTTAGATCTCTTTATTTCTGATAAATTTTGTTGAAATTGGTCAGCTGTTTCAAAGCCATTAGGTAGGTGCGGAGAGATGGATGGATGAGAAGAGGGTGAGAAGGATAGACTTTACTAGCCATAAGACTCATTTCCTCAGGAAAACAGGCTAAAGTGTTTCTAATGAAATGTGAAGGCAAATTTGTCTCTAAACCAAACATACACCATTCCCATTGATTTCAGCTATTAGTTTATATTATACCAAGAGGAAATGTACAATACAGTGTAAAATTAGCTCTAAAATGGATGTTTCATGAAAACATCAGTGGCTTTGTGGGCAGACCACTAAGTTACTTTCTGAGAGTGCAAAACCAGAGGAGCAACTTCTGAATCTCTTGCTAAAGATGTAAAATGAACTTATGAACTGTGCTGTGAAGAATAGCAGGGATCTGCGAAGACCTCTGCATATTTAAATCACCAGAGGTGATACGTAACAACCCCAGAAAATCCATCCTCAGGAAAGCATCATGCAGCGATATCCAGCTAACTCAGACATAGCTGGAGGGGCAAGTGGCTCTTGTCAGAGGATCACCCTCTTCCTTCTGTTATTAGGCTATGATATCACTCAATCAAGTGGCAGCATCCTAATGAATGACTGTTCCTCCAGCAGTCACAGCCCCATGGTGTGCCTCTAGGTAGGTTCAGCTGTGAAGTACAGCGTGACAACTTATAACCAACTCCTTGAGTGAAAAGAGTGCATTTGGTTAGCTACGGCAGCTCAGCTAACAACAGCTAAGTGCTGAAGTCGTCATCAACTTACCAAACTTGTCCAGTTAGAAGAAGTTTAGATGGGAAGACCAGAAAGCCATAAAAAAAAAAAAAAAAAAAAAAGCAGGACAGCTCTTCTGTCGGAGGACCTGATAAAATGGCAAGCCCACCTACTAAGCTGTATTGTAAAAGCTGCATATATCAAAACTGTTCAAAACACTGTAAAGGTATAATTTAAAGTTCTCCTTAATGCATTCCTAAAAGGTAGACAGATCAATAAAGATTATTAGCCCCATTTTACAGAGCATGAAAGTGAAGCAGGATATTCAGACAGGTTGTGATTTGGAGAGTTAGGCATCCAAGCTGGGAGTTTCTCTCTGCAGACCACACTTTTGTATTTTTTTTTAAGGTGTCCCTAGCTGAACCACAGCTGCTTTACAGTTCACGTGAGAAGATGGTTGTTCACTGAGGAGGGAGAAATTTATTTACATCATTATCAATTTTCAGAATGTTTTCTAAAAATCTCACTTTCAGGGTGAATTAAATACAACTTTCATGCAGTGCAACATGTAAATTTCTCCCAGTTTTTGGCAACCTAAAATACTTATGAGTCGCAAATATATTCTTTCACTTTTACGTATGTCACCAAACACAAGGAATAATCATTCTTAATTTATCAGCAGAAACATAGCAAAGGCCTCTCCTTCTTTTGCCATGTCAGGAAAGGACACAACCTTGGAGTGTCATTACTCCAATGTAACTTTAACTATCAAGGTCCTAATTCCAGCAAAGCAAAAACTGCTGCGCTGGTGTTATCAGTAATAGAAATGTTTGCATTCACATTTAAAATGCATTTCTTGGACTGCAGTTGGACATTTTATAGAATGACAGTGCTGAAGTGGACAGTTTGTAAGGTCAGAAGCAGAAGGCTATCTATATGTATTAATGTGTGTCACACACCAGTCTGGTCCATGGCGTGCTGTATAAACAGAGCAGGGAAATCATACAGCTGGGAGAGGTGCTCCAGAAGGACAAATGAACAAATGCCCTTGGGGGGGCTACCATAGTAGCCAGGGGTAAATCTGAATGGGAAACACTTTTCCCACTTTGTGAAATTTACTGAGATTTGAAGGGTTTTTTTCTCCTTTTATGCCAAAATAAAGTGAAATTTTGTCTGTTTAAAAACAAGATGTCCACTGTTCTCTAGTTAACCAGTAGGGATACTTTTTATGGCACGCATCTTTGATATGGCTAAACTCAGATTAAATTTTCCCCAAATATCCTAACAGCTCGATTCAAACTGCTTGGCTTTGTATGAGTAAGTAAAATATTCCCTGGGGAGGAGTACTGAAACTGGATCCCCTCCTCAAAACTTATATGACTGTCCTGATGCTGGTCCAGATCCCTCTTCCTCTAATTTTGGTGAGAAAATCTGTCCTGTTGCAGTGTCATAAAAGCTGGCACACAATTTACATTTTCTGTAGAAATAAAACAAGACTATACCACAGTCTTGAGCCACTGGCATGTCACTATTTAAGTGCCAGTGATTTCCATAGTGCGGAGGCATTGGTCCTTTCTAGCAACTGCTGCTATTTCAGATTATATTCAAGGACAGTTCAGGAATAGCATGTGACAGGGACTTATCCCACAAGGTACTTGAAGAATCATACAATCACAGAATGGTTTGGGTTGGAAAGGACCTTTCAAAGATCATCTAGTCCAACCCCCCTGCCATGGGCAGGGACATCTTTTGCTAGATCAGGTTGCTTAAAGCCCCATCCAACCTGGCCTTGAACACTTCCAGGGATGGGGCATCCACAACTTCTCAGAGACATAGCAGAGGAGGTTTCTTACTCCGTCAGTGTTTGGACTCAAATTCATAAACAATCCCATCTCAAACATGTTCATGAGAAAACAAACTCATCCCTAAGAGTCCTTATGCTACAAAAATATAATTTAAAAAGTTTGGTTTTTTTAATTTTTTTTTTTTTTACACTATGCATATGACTTTCACATTTCCTTTTATACCTCATACAACTGAAAGCAACGACTAAGCAATCATAGAGGAGTCGCATGCAAAACAAAAAACAGACAGTTCTGAAAGTCTCTGCAAGTAAGATTCTTTAATTTTTGTTTATGGATTAATGGGTACCTCAGTTGCGTCTTGAGATGACCAGAGAGCAGGTTCTACAGATGTTAATTTAGTTTTATGCTTTTCAATGTTAATTAAATTTTAAGAATCAATTATTTGTTTCTAACTGCAAAGGTAATTCACGGTGATCATTAGGAGCATCTGAATATTCTCCACTGATTAACCTGTTAGTGTCATTTTAGCATCCTAGAATTTCAAGATATCTGAGATCAGCCCTCTCAGATCTTACAACCTGAATCTGCCATTGCCAAGACAGCTTCTGTGATTGTTATTCATATGAAATGAAGTGGTAAGGCTTGGCTTGCACCTGAAGTTAACTTGTTGATCTGCTCCTACATACCACCTGTGGGCTCAGCAGCCTTTGCCTACATAGTTCTGCAAACTGTAAATTCATCTGCACTGAAAGAATAAGCACACGGTTAAAATGGAGGTAAAATACCAAGGAATGGAGCTGGCTATAGAAGGAAAAAACCCCCAAACTCAGCATACCAACAAATATCTGTGAGCGTTACCCGCAGCGGCAGGGTAATGTCCTAGCACTGATACACTCAAGTGCTTAGTTACCTATTGTACCACTACACAACTTGGTGTCATTGGCAAACTTGC